TGGCCGTAGACTGTACTCCCCATCGCGAAAACTTGGCCCGAACTCGTTAAACCCACGGTCAAACTATGGCCGCATGCAATCTTCTGGAAGTTATGATCGATGAGAGTCGGGACACAAGTGGGCTCGAGCCAGGCTTCCTTGTCTCCCTGACCGAGCCGATTCTTGCCCCCATCGCCCCACGTGAACAGTTTTCCAGCCGTGGAAGAATGTGTGACCTCGACTATGGCCGCCGTGTGCCAGACCCCGCACGCGACCGCCACCGTCCACAGGCCCGAAAGGGACTCAACCTCCTTTGGGCCCGAGAAGCTCTCCCTATTCCCGTGGCCCAATACACCAAAATTGCCCTCCCCGAACGTGAATAGTCTCCCATCCGACGTGATCAGGGCCGTGTGCCACGGCCCGCACGCAACAGAGGTGACCCAGAGACGCTCATGTTAGTCCTTAATTGCTACTGTCGGCTTTTCTTCACAACTGCCAAGTTGTATTTGTAGCTAGGCTGCACTGTTCCCGGAACAAACGGACACTTTTAGGATAGAAGAAGAAGATTTTGAACAACTCAATGTATTGAGTATTCATATTTTTTGTGCGTTTACAAATGAAAACTGCATCCCTATTTATAAGAACTAAAACAACTATTCTAGTGGCTTTCTTAGAAATTTCTTAAGCTAAAAAATCAGTCTAAAATGGCTGCTATGAAAGTGACATGAAAGTGCAATGAAAGTGTAATGAAAATGTAATGAAAGTGCAAGGAAGTTGCACTTCACTAACAAGGAAACTGCAGGATTATATCCTCAACCGCGTGCCCACGAAGGCCCTGAAGAGCATGACACCATTCGAAGCTTGGCATGGCGGGCAGCCCGACGTCTCGTTTCTGAGGACGTTCGGGTGCATTTGCCATGTGAAGAAGACGAAGCCCTTCCTGTTCAAGCTTGAGGATAGGAGCACACCGATGGTGTTCCTAGGCTACAAAGAGGGGAGCAAGGCCTATCGGCTCTACAATCCACGTGGAGGCAAGGTGGTGGTATCGCGGGATGTGGTGTTCGACGAAATGGCAGCCTGGGATTGGGAGAATCCTGGCACGGGGGAAGCCCGTGGCGTCGGCGGTACGTTTGTCATCGAGCATTTGGTGATCCACGGAGGAGGAGATGCGGGATCAGAAAAGCCAGCTGCGGACGCGCCAAGTCCAGCAACTGTGGTTGCGTCAGTTGAGCCGCAAAGTCCGGCCATGGGCACGGGCGAAGAGTCTCCACCAGCAGCTGCGCACACGCCCCCACCACAGTCCCCTGCTGCGGCAGGACAGGGGACACCTCCAGCGACGATAGTTGAGTTCACCTCTCCTCCAAGCAACATCGACGAGTATGTGGATGCTTTCCACGATGGTGAGGAGGTGAGGTTTCGCAGGATGGACAACCTCGTTGGCAACTCGGTTGTACCAGGCTTGGCAAGCCGATTACTCGACGATCAGGAGCTGCTCCTCGTCAGCGCAGAGGAGCCATCGACTTTCGCGCAGGCCGAGCGCGATGTCAGTTGGAGACGAGCTATGCTAGAGGAGATGAAGGCGATCGAGGAAAATGAGACGTGGGAGCTCATCGATCCACCTCCAGGCTGTCATCCAATCGGGCTCAAATGGGTCTACAAGGTCAAGCGGGACGAGAGTGGCACCATAGTCAAGCATAAGGCGCGCCTCGTTGCTCGCGGTTTCGTCCAGCGTGAGGGCATCGACTTTGATGAAGTTTTTGCACCAGTGGCACGCATGGAGTCAGTTCGCCTACTGCTGGCCATGGCAGCAGCGAAGGACTGGCGCATTCATCACCTGGACGTGAAATCGGCCTTCCTCAACGGTGAGCTAGCGGAGACTGTCTTCGTCAAGCAAGCGCCGGGCTTCGCCGTTAAGGGAGAGGAGCACAAGGTGTTGCGGCTGCGGAAGGCACTTTATGGGCTGCGTCAAGCCCCACGAGCGTGGAACGCCAAACTCGATGCCACCCTGGTTACGCTTGGGTTCACGCGTTGCGCGACAGAACACGCGCTCTACACGCGACGATGGGGGAAGGAGGAGCTCGTCGTCGGCGTGTATGTGGATGACTTGATCATCACCGGGGCACGAGAAGGGGACATCAACGGCTTCAAGCGCGAGATGGCAGCTCGTTTCCGCATGAGTGATCTCGGGCAGCTCTCCTACTACCTCGGCATCGAGGTGAAGCAGGGGAGAGACTCCATCATTCTCTGTCAGCGTGCGTATGCGGAGAAGCTATTGGTGCGGAGCGGCATGGCTGACTGCAAGTCATGCACGACTCCGATGGAGGAGCGGCTGAAGCTGACGAAAGCCAGCACCGCGGGCAAGGTGGATGCAACACGTTACCGGAGTATTGTAGGCGGGCTGCGCTACCTAGTTTACACCAGGCCAAATATCGCATTCGTCATGGGCTATGTAAGCCGCTTCATGGAGGATCATCGAGAGGATCACTGGGTTGCGGTAAAGCGGTTGTTGCGCTATGTCAAGGGAACGGTGGACCAGGGCATCATCTTTCCCAAGACCGGCGGCGGAAGTGGGCTGCGGCTCACAGTTTTCAGCAATGCAGACATGACAGGCGACATTGATGGGCGGAAGAGCACCTCCGGTGTGCTCGTCTTCCTTGGATCAACCCCAATCTCATGGCAGTCGCTGAAACAAAAGATCGCGGCGCTGTCTACGTGGCGTTGTCTACGTGCGAGGCGGAGTACGTGGCGGCAGCCACAGCAGCGTGCCAGGCGGTCTGGCTACATCGGTTGCTGAGCGAGCTGACCGGCGAGGAAGCTCGTCCACCAGCTTTGATGGTGGACAACCAGCCCGCCATTGCCCTTGCAAAAAATCCAATCCTCCATGATCGGAGCAAGCACATCAATACCCGTTTTCACTTCATCCGTGATTGTATCGATGAAGGACAGATTGTTTTGGAGTTTGTCGAATCCGGACGGCAGCTCGCAGACATCCTTACCAAGCCACTCGGCCGTCTTCAGTTCATGGAGCTGAGGATCAAGATTGGAATGGTGGGAAACAAGCAAGAGCAGCAGGATTAGGGGAAGAATTGTAAGATATAATCCTGCAGTTTCCTTGTTAGTGAAGTGCAACTTCCTTGCACTTTCATTACATTTTCATTACACTTTCATTGCACTTTCATGGCACTTTCATAACAGCCATTTTAGGCTGATTTTTCAGCTCAAGAAATTTCTAAGAAAGCCACCAGAATAGTTGTTTTAGTTCTTATAAATAGGGATGCAGTTTTCATTTGTAAACACACAGAAGATATGAATACTCAATACACTGAGTTGTTCAAAATCTTCTTCTATCCTAAAAGTGTCCGTTTGTTTCGGGAAGCATTTTTGCTTAACCGAATGCAAATAGGCAGTTGTGAAGAAAAGCCGGCAGTAGCAATTAAGGACTAACACCTCAAGCAAGCCCGAAACCCTCCTCGGGGGCCGGGGGCCGACACCCATCCCATGGCCAAGGAGCTCGGCGCTGTGCGTGCCATCGCCCCATGTGTAGAGCTCACCAGAAGCTGTGACGACACAAGTATGGAACTCCCCACAAGCAATGTCAGGACAAGGAGTTTATAAGATGAGGTTGTGAAATATCATTTATGACCCCGTGACCCAACTCGCCCCAGCTGAACACTTCACCTTGTCTGGTGATGAGGGCCGCGTGGCGGGCCCTGCATGCCACGCGGTGAACGTCCCCACTCTGCATTCTAGGGGCCGGGGAAGGAGGAGGAGGTCAGGTCCTACGGCAGCTGGGCGCGGACTGCCATCTGAGCCGGGCCCAACAAGGTTGATGTCCCATGCAACTTGGCCCCATACATACACGGTGCCCCAGGTGTCGGATTCATCTTGGGCCAAGCCATGGCTGGAGGTGCTGAGCCCGCTTGATTAAGGCATCGTAAGGAGGTGGTTTGGTTGCATATTTGTTGTTTGCTCGGAAGTTACATTTGAACTATTTGAAACGGTTGAACTATACGTCTGAAGGGTTTTCTGAGATGGCATTGAGTGTGGATTAATGGGAACCTCAGGGGAGGAGCATCCTGGTATAGTGGTTACAGAACTGGTGGTGGCACTTACTGATATTAAATCTCTGTGTTCCTGGAATAGACCAAATAAAGAAAACATCATTTATTTGAACCAGAAACAACAAATTATAATAATACGAAAGCCCAAATAAGCAAATAATAAAACGATTGGCCAGGTTTCATAAGCTCACATGAAAATCGAGGCCTCCATCATTCCATCCATCAATTTTGGAGCGACCATCTTTTGCTGATGATATCAATGCCCTAAGGCCAGCTATCCAGATTTCTGCTTCAACTTTGTCCTTGCAAATCTAAAAAGATTCACATAAAAGGACAATAATGCAAATGCAAAAGTCAATTGTTAAAGAAAAATTTGCTTAGCACCCCAACCAGGTCAAGTGATCTTTTCCCATTGTTATATATGAGAGAAAATGATAAATAGTCCTTTTCTGGGCGAAGATATCTTCGGGAAACAGCCTGGTATAACAAGTTCGTACAAATCCAAAAAGTCAGTGAACGACAGACTTAATCAATCGTGATAGCACAGCAAAATTTAAGGCCTACGGATTCTTACAGTTCTTTGGCCTGGGATTATTCTGGAAACAGAAGCTAACTGCAGATTTCTTTCACCATTACTAGAAATCCAAATCAAAGATTTTTCATCCTGCGACAAAACAAATTTTAAGAAAAAATATTATTAGGAATATAAGCATATCCAATGAACAACTAGAAAATTTAAGGATCTCAACAGTCATAGATATCAATGAAAAAGAGTGATGTTAAACCAGAAACCCAAAAAGAAAAACAAATTGAAAAAAGAACCCATGTTAATACATATCAATGAAAATCGTGCGAACGAAAAAATTATTAACTTCATTGGGCATATTACAATGGCTTACATTAGAAACTCTAAAAGAGCAAAACTTGGGCTTTCCCTGACGCCCATATTTAATCAGTCGAGCTCCCTTCTTTAGAGCAATCAATGCCTGCATATAGTGCAACAAAGTAAATTTTAGAGTCATTGCTGACAATTCTCCTGGCATAGTGCTAATAATGGACTAGATCAAAATGGCTCAATTAAATTCTAGTTCTTCTTCTATCAGTGCTGAAGTTTCTAGGAAAAAAAATATATCAAACGACGCAATGTACCTTAGGTCGCTACGGAAATAGCCTCCTTGTATAATTACAAGGGTAACGTCTGCATACAACTGACCCCCCAGATCTCAACTAGTTGGGAGTTGGGAATATACTGGGTATGTTGTTGTTGTTGTTGTTGATCTTTCAACGAGTGACAAGATGATGATGCAAAAAAAAAGAAACTAAAACGAAACATCATATGGAAAGTTTAATATCGGATATGTTATCAATTATTCCAAATAACAAGAATTTGAAATATAACTCAAACTACACGAATCAAAGGACATATCGAAATACGTTGCTTTGTTTTGGCATTAACCGAACATATTAGGTGGTTTTTGTTCATCATAGATTTGAACTACTGAGCTTTAAATCCTTTGACAAACCTAAATTTAGTTAATCTCTGCCAATGAACGTATAAAAGCTCCAAGATTTTCATCCTCTGTTAATTGATCAACAATGCTGAAGATTAGATGCCAATAGGATCCAAGAAAATTAAATTCGACCCACCAAATAAAAGAGCAAATTCAGATGTGCCCCCAAAAAGACGGACAGTCTTATTTATCCACCATTTTTTTATAATGTATAGAAAGATTTTTTCAACTAAAACCAACCAGAATCCCACAACATCTTCCATGGATACCATCAAACAAAAGCAGAGTAAATTAAAAATAAATAAATAAAATCAGACAACCTCAATTAACACATACAGAGGAATTAGTTTCAGACACCCCTGTTCAATGTCACGTTCGGAGTTACTGCTGCTAGCAAGATCCGCCATCCCATCTGAATCTCTCACCGCCCCAACGTGGCCGACGCCGCCGCCAACCCGCCACCACGCAAACCACCATCAACCTCGGTGGCCCGCCTGATTTTTTTCCCTCCCTGTTTTCCCTTTAAATGATCAACTACAGCAACCCAAGTTTTCTAAACATCCAGATCTGAAAAAAGCAACCCAACTGAAAAAAAAAATGTTAATAGGGTCTCGAATTGTGCACTGTCTTTCTCCAAACAGCTCAAAGTTCGAAGCGAGTGTGAACGAGCTTGATAGGCTCCGGCAATTTCGTACAATGGAGTGAAGAAAGAACAAGAGTAGCTGCCGGCCGCCGGGAATAAATTTTCCGGGTGACGGGCGGCGAGAAAACAAACAGAAATTATGAGGGGAGAAAAGAATTGCGTATGGTTGTGAGAAGGTGGCGTGGGTGTTAGAGGAGATTTAGTGGGTGATTGTTTATGGTTTGTACAGTCAAAAAAAATCAATCAAAACTCAAATTTAATTCAACTTTAACTCAATTCCACTATTTTCTATATTATCAGTATAATTAAATAATATCAACCAATCATTTCTACCATCACATCAACTTTAATTTACTATTTATTTACTCACATAATTTTAACTAATCATCACTTCCAATCATTTTTCTTTTACTTTACATCAAATCAACTTTAATTATTACGTTTAAATATTATTCTAATATATCTACTAACAACTAACCATACCATATTTTTTCAAAACTAACTATAGGTAATAAACAAACCAAATAAAAACTAGTTGAATCCATAAACAATCGCCCATTAAGAGTGCGTAGTCAACAAACAATTTAAAAAAAAAACAACAAAAACAAAAACAAACAAGAAGTATACAGTAATCAAGAAATATTACTATTCAAGAATTTATGTCCTAAATTAGTAGTATAATTCATACTCCCTCTTGTTTCTTGGAAATTCTATGGTGTCCATGTGGGTACCATAAGCCATGTCACATAATATCACAATATGATGTGGTATTATTAATTAGATTTATCAATTCTAATATGGATATTAGGTGTGATAAAGGATATTATACTAGAACGGGTTTAATGGATACAACGAATACATATTGTAGGATAAGTCCACGTACGAACTAAGACATAGAGCATAACAATATGGGCCAAGCCCAACTTCAGTCCAAAAAGGTACACTCCCCCTATAAAAGGGGGCTAAGGTATGACACTCTCTCATTCTCTATTCATTCATTTACTACACTCTCTCTCTCTATCATTCTTTCTCTCTCTTGATCAAGCACTGACTTAGGCATCGGAGGCCCGACGTCGGGATCCCTCCCGGCGTTGGGTTCTATATGTGCGGAGGCCGTTCGAGTTGAAGGAGCCCGAGTGAATTCATTTACACTCGCATCATTAGCGCCGTCTGTGGGACCCGTTCAAGAAGCCAAACGGAGTTCCAACCGAAAAAAAAAATCGAAAACCTCCTTCTTTTCCACCGGCCGCCGCCACCGCCGGCCGCCACCTCCACCACCGGCCGCCGAAAAACATGCTCCGATCGGAAAGTTATTTACGCCATTTGATAGATCTCTTCAAGGTGACTCTACCATTAAAATTTCATGCAAAAATTCATCCGGGAAGGCCGTCAATTTTGCGGTCAAAGTTTTCAGATCTAGAAAAAAATTGGTCAAAATCGAACATTCAAATGCGTTTTCACGGCGATCCGTGAGGGCTATGGATAATCCGAGGGTACCACCGGAATCCTCTCGACGAGACGAATCTCCAGGTACCGATCTTCGCCGGAAACCGCCGCCTCCGCCGCCGTCCGCCGCCAAAAATTGTCCGATCGAAAAATTTCTTACACCATCGCGAAGCTCTCGTCGTTCTCGTTCTACCCTTAAAATTTCATGTAAAGATTCCACCGGGAAGGGCATCGATTTACCGGTCAAAGGTTGTAGATCTAAGAATTTTTTGGTCAACTCCGGCCATCTTCTCCATCTTTCCGGCAATTATCGGCTAACCACTCCAAACTGAGAACACCATTGAAGTCTCCTCGTCGAGACGCTCACACGGCTGGTAATTGTCGCCGGAGCCGATGGCTTTTTCTCCGGCGACGTTT